ACCTTCATCAGGCACTACGCCCTAGACGTCCGTAAGAACACCAATACCCAACATGGGACGTCACATTCTATCTTCGGCTACGCAGTAAAGGACCTGCCAGCACCCTCCTCCAGGTAGGCCACTGCTCGCTAATCTCCCATGGGTGTGAAGCACAGAGACCACGTCGAAGATAAACAGGTTGCTTACCTGTAACTGGTGATCTTCGAGTGGTCATCTGTGCATTCACACCACCCGCCCTCCTTCCCCGCCCTCCTTCCCCGCTGCTGTCAGCTTCTACATTACGGCGGTTCGAAGGAACTGGCGGGATGTCCGCGCCCACCCCTCTGGGCATGCACGGTGGGGTTCCTGCACATGCCTGAGGTCTGGGCGCGAACGTTAAAAGAGCTTGCTACAGCACCAATCGATCCAGCATGTGCGCACTAGATCCCATGGGTGTGAATGCACAGATGACCACTCGAAGATCACCAGTTACAGGTAAGCAACCTGTTTTTCCTTGCTTTCCCCCACCCCAAAGCTTTACACAAGGAAGTGGTGGTTGGCTAGAATGATGTTGGATTGGCCAGGGTGCCAGATCAGCACCCAAAACAGACCTTCTTCTTGTGCTTGCATGCCTGGTCTCTTCCCCCCCCCCTTCCCCCACACAGCACAATGGAAAAGCTTTCTGGGAAGCCTTCAGCCAAACTCCTCTTTGCCATGATGTGTGAATCTGAGCGAACAAAATTTTGTTTTCTTCCCACAAAGATTCTAACCCACTGGCTTTAGAATTCTCATTTGTGACGAGGAAACAAATTCCGGTTTGCTCCAACGCCTGCATCTGAATATCCCGGCAAGTTGGAATTTGACTGAAGGTTTCCCACAACAAGAAATGTTTTGGTCACACTGTGCATGTGAGGGGGAAAGTGAAAGGGAAGAGAGCACACAGGCACGAGGCAAGCTATGTCCATACGCATATGGACATATAAACAAGCTTATTGTGATGTCTGAATGCGGCCACTGAGTTAACGGTCCATCAGTCATAAGTAATATCCTCTCGTCTCCTCCTGGCCACTGTTCTGGTAGTACGATAATGGTTTTCATGAAACTGAATTATTCTCTCTCTCCCTGTTCCCTAGGTGTCTATGCCAGCAGCTCATGCAACATCTTCTGCTCCCACGGTGACCTTAGTACAGTTGCCCAACGGGCAGACGGTTCAAGTCCATGGCGTTATTCAGGCTGCCCAGCAGTCAGTTATTCAGTCTCCACAAGTCCAGACAGTTCAGGTACCTGAAAAAGAATTTCACAAAACTGTGCTCTTCCATGGCGTGTGGAAACACTGGCCACACATTTGCATTCGGGGCTTCATGAGTCAACAGGTCCTTATCTACACATACGAGCGATAAAGCTTGTTAAGTATTCTTTACTTTGTAGGTTAATAGGAAGTCCATGTTGCATTAAGATGAAAAAGTGACTCTAGAACTAGAAGCTTGGGGCCCGAAGTGGTCCCTGTTTCCCAGGCCCGTAGCCAGGATTTTTTGGCTTTTAGGGCAATTTTTTTTCCTGGTGGGGTTGAAGTTCTCAATGCAGAAAGAAAAGCCATTTAGCCAAGAGAAAGCTGTTAATCGCTTTTGCCAGCCTAAGCAACAAATCTGATACCAAGCCGGCAGGTGGGGGTGATGACTTCTATAGTCAAGAAAGCTAACATTTAGGCAGAAAAACTCTCTTAAAGGAGATCAGTTTCTTGATACAGAATTAGAAGGGATCCTAGAGGTCACCTACTCCAACCCCCTTGCTCAGTGTGGGAATTAGTCAACTACGGCACCCCATTCTGCTTAAAGGAGCATACACCTTTTAAAAAACGTTTTTAAATGAGTGGGGGAAAAACATTTACAGGAGAAATTCTTGTGGGGCTGAACCTTTAAGAAAGGGGGAGGAGCCCCCAAAAGCCCCACCATAGTGCCGGGCCTGCTGTTTCCACTCAGCCTTGAAAACGCCTCCTAATAATTTGGCCCATCCTGCTTCTCTATTTTCATGGGTTACATTGACCAGGGGTGGGTTTCCGAGTGAGCTGGCAAGGAAATCGGCATGGTTTTCTCCAGCCACAGATGGAGAGGAGGACTGGGGTAACAGGGCCTTCCTGGAAAAAAGTAGCTGAAAAGCTGCTGGGTTAGCCTTGTTAAAGTAACCTTTGGAACTGTAGGTATTGGAGAGAAGAAAGGAGTTCCTGCTAAAATGGGATACAGTTTGATGTGACTGAAAAAGTTGGTGCATGGGTGAGTTTGTGTGTTGTATATATACAGACACTGTCAGCATGCCAGAGATCTTGTATGTGAGAGAAAGGGCATTTGCATGTGTATTTTGGGATAGAGTCAACTAGCCAATTTAAAATAGGAACGTGTAGCCCCAGGACTGCCACACATTTCGCTCACCTCGGGTTTAGAATAAAAGGCATCAGTAGTTTAATTTAAAAAATAAAATCTAGGTGCTCTAAGCAGGTTCCAACTTGCTTCCCTATCCATTTGTGGTTTAACACAAAAACAGGAACATTTAGATTGTAATTGTCAATGTGAGATAAATGGGCCCATACATTTTTCTGTCACTGGGAATGGAGGAACTGACAAATAATAAACAGACTGCATAACTTGTTCACACCGTTGTGCAAGCAACATTGATTTGCATTTTCATTGGACACACGTCTCAAAAATGAGAACGTTTTGATATTGGCCATTTTTTCTCTCCCTAAGCTTTACGAGCCCTGTCATTTCTGTTGCCTTTGCTTACAGTCACCACAACTAGGTTACAGATCTACCGTGTCCGGTGAGAGAAACCCACTAGAGTTCAGAAATCGTGTAAAATGAATTCCTGACTCCAGTGATAGTAGATAAGAGGCTGATAATGAAAATGT